CGTCCAGGCAGATTTTCGGGTCTATCTGGCCCAACCCTCCATCTTTCCTCGGGAGACAGGCCAGGTACGCGCTCCATAAAATGAAAACTTTCTCTTCAGCTGCCTCTCCCCTCGAGACAAAAGCGTGACATAACTTCCTTATTTTGTCCCAGGTTTTCTCCGGCGGCGGGTAAACTTGAGCTTGGAACATCAGCACCGGTAAGACGTAGCAGCTGATTACTGCCACTCTGGCCGTTGTAGTGATGTATTGCACCTCCCACTTATTCAACTCCTCTTTTATCCTCTCATACGCCTTGTCCCAGGACGGGCCCGCATCACCGCTCGGTGTGATCCACACCCCCAGAAGTCTTTCCGGCTCCTCCTGCGTCGCCCACTTGTATGGGATTCCCGCCGGCGCCAGGCTCCCTCTGTTACGCCCCAGCGGCACGACCGCTGACTCGCTGCTGTTCACCTTCAGACCTGACTGCCTGCCAAAACTGGTCAACACCTCCACCGACTCCCTCAGCTGCCGCTCCCCATGCAGCAGGAAGGACGTGTCATCAGCGTAACCGACATATGACAGCGGCGTCGCCTCCGCTTCTCCAACACCTAATCCTCTGCGGCACGTTTCTCTGCAGAGCGGCTCCAGCGCGCACAGAAACAGGTAAGGCGCTAACGGGCAGCCTTGCCTTACTCCCCTGCTCATTTCGACCTTGTCACTCAACCAGCCGTTGACCAGCAGCCTCGTCCCCGCTCCCTCATGCAGGCCCCTAGTCCATCCAACGAAACTGTCTGGTATGCCCAGCTTCTCCATTACTTTGAACAGGTATTCCCTCGAGACCGTGTCGTAGGCCTTCTGGAAGTCTACCAGCAGCAGCAGCCAGTCTTCCTTCCCGTTGTTCGCCGCTTCCACCGCATCTGCGACAACTGACACTGCATCCGGAAGGCTCTTCCCGGGAAAGAATCCATGCTGTTTCTTTTGATAAGACCTTCCCCAGCACCTTCTTTAGTCTCGTAGCCATCACCTTGGTAACCAGCTTGTACATGACTGTTAACAGTGTAATCGGCCTGTAATTTCCCAGCTGATCTTCTGGTCCCTTCTTATGAAGCAGCACCGTGACCGCCGTCGACAACCCTTCTGGCATCCTCGCGGTCCGTTCGAAATCTTGGACGAAACGCATCACATGCTTCCCCAGTATGTCCCAGTTCAAAATGAAGAACTCTGCAGGTAAACCGTCCCGTCCCGGGGATTTTCCTTTGGGAAGACCGGCTAGCGCGTCTTTGACTTCTTACTCCGACCAAGGCGCCCCCAGCTGTTCAGCGTCTGCTTCCGCGAGCGATGGCCCCTCAGAGAAAGCCTTCCAGTTCACCTCCTCCTCAGGTATCACCTCCATAAAAGCCTCCCTAAAAAACTCCGCTGCCACCTCCAACACCCGTTTTGTGCCACTGTAGTCTGTCCCCTGATGCTTAATCCTCTGGATTTGTGTCCGCCTTTTCCGTATCTTCACTTTTGCCGTCAGGTACGGCGACGGGACCTCCCCACTTAGCTCAACCTTGATACCCGCCAGAACCCGCAGCCTCTCTTTGCAGCTCAGCTGATACGCCTCCAGATGCGCCTCCTTGCACACCAGCCTGCTCTCAGCCCTTTTGTCTGCCGGATGACGCATCACTTTATGACGGAGCACCTCCACCTCCTCTTCCAGATGCTTCATCGTCGCCGTCACCCTTTTCCGCTCTTCTCTTTCATAAGCCCGCAACCCCGCGCTGAGTAGCTGCAGTTTCTTGCCGAGGTCCATGTTTGTGTCTCCTTCCAGCTTCTTGAGTACATTCATAGCCGCTGCTCTAATCCCCCGTCTCCTGGCTTGCCTTGCTTGCAGCCTCCACAGGCCTGGGCCTTGGTCCATCTGGGATGTAACCGCCAGCCCAACTTTGATCGCGAACCAATGGTCTGTCAGGCTCTTCGGCACCTTGACATGTTTCGCCTCCGTCAACACTCCCAACAGTGACATGGACACCAGCCCTCTGTCTATCCTCGTGCTGGATTGCGTCACTCTGTCCCTGAAAGTGTATTCCAGCTTTGATGGGTGCAGCGTCCTGAAAGCGTCCTTGAGGTCCCACGCAGACCAGTACCCTAACCACCTCTGGTTCTCCCCACACGAGCCAGCTCGCGATGTTTTGTCCATAACCGGGTCTTCCACTAGATTTAGGTCACCCAACAGTATCAGATGCTGTGCCGGAGGCTGCGCCTGAACAAACTGCGGGAGGTTGTTCCTGAAGAAAACTGCTCTGTTGCAGGGCTGCGCCGGTAAGTACGCCGCCACTAGCCTACAGGTGAAGTGTTCGGTTGCCACGGTCACGCCGATGAGTCTGCCCGACGGGTGGCTCACCACATCTGTTAATGTCACACCTTCTTTGAAAGCCAGTACCGCTATTCCTCCTGCACGTTCACTTTTCCCCACCGCGACTACTGCTGTCGGCTTTAGTTGTGTCCATAAATTGTGGTCTTCTCCTATCCTTGTGTCGGTAAGCACCACCACATCAGCCACCGTCCGAATCCACTTTTTGTGTGTAGTTCGTTTGCCGTTGCTTCCGATGCCATTAACATTGACCTCACAGAAAGTGAAGGTGGTGTCATTACCCATTATTCAGCTGCATCAAAGCCCCTCTGCATCCACGGGCATAGTACATAATAACAGCTCCTACTTCCCTCTGTGTATCTTTGTCAGGCGGCTTCCTGCGAAACTTCCACAGGTTCACTTCCACATCAGCCTCTACATGCCGTACTCCTTGCGGATGGGAATGACTTTCAGCTTCCCCTTGTTCGCACGACTCGCAGCCCCCCCTTTCAGGAGCGCCGTGCAGTGCTGGACGGACTTCACACGAGCCTCCGCCTGGATGAAACTCGCTCCGTGAGCCTTCCCACACGCTTCTTGGACGCAGATCCAGTCTTCCCTGCTTCCACCAGTGGAGATCAGCACCAAGGCCGGGTCCCGCAGAATCTTCTTCAAACGCGCGTCTATTTTGTGGGACGCAGCTGCTCACGCAAAGAACTGCGCGGCCGTCAGCAAGCCCGATCTGGATCCCGACAGCCTGAAAAACAAGGTTAGTACACGACTGTTTACCGTTGATCGCGTGCAGCCGTTGCACAGTCAGATTCCACTTTGATATGTTATCCTGCCTCTCCGTCACGTAATCATCATGAAACTTAGTGAGATGCATGCCAGTGCAGAAATCGCAAGTAAGTGAGGGATAATGCACGAGAAGCTGCTTATGCTGAACCGTGTCTGTCAGCAGATGCCACCACCGATACTTATCCCCCGGTTGCCCCTTAACAAGACCCTTGATCTTGTCAGTGTCCGCTCCCGTAACAGGGTCCACCACGCGATGGAAAGCCGCACCACTGAGGAAAGGGGTACGTCGCGCTTCTCCAGTTCCGTCTTGACCAGGTACTCATAAATCATCTCCGGAGTGATCGCAGCAGGTACGCTCTTCAGCAGCACTTCAATCGCGTCAGGATTTGTCGCACGTTCCTGAACGTAAGCCGGGTTCTCAGGATGTTGCCAGTCCAAGAAAATGTTCTTCTCGTTCAGCATCTTATGTTCGATCCGTCGGCACCAGACATAGTTGGCGTCCGAGGCCTGCTGGAAAGTGACCTGCATCCTCCCATATCGCTTCTTCGACAGGTACGTTGGGAGCAGAACCTGACACTGTGTCGTCGTCAGGACGTGCGCCGACATGTGCCTCCTCCACAACGCCAGTAACCCCTTGACCGTATCAATGGTACGTGGAACTTCCTCCTCGTACTTGATCGGAATGAGCAGCGTGATCGAAAAACCCGCACGAGCAGCAATCTCACCAGCCTTCACCGGATCAAACCTCTCCTCCGGATCGTCGCTAAGATAACCGTCGTCTTCGTCCTCTTCTTCCTCCTCCTCCCCTCCAGGGGCCTCAGGATCGGCCGTGGGGGACGTCAGCTTATCCTTGTCGCATTCTTCCTCTGCAGTAACACCACCCTCTCCCGCAGACGTCTTCTCCGGTTCCGGGAACTTGAGCGCAGCGAGCTTCTTCACCAGAGACAAGCGCGTCTCACCAGCGAAGGGGCCTTCCACATCCTTCAACAGCGGCTTGGGTGTTGCCGGCTCCGACTGATGGCCCTTAGAAGCCGACTCACGAGCGTCCGTTAACTTGTTCGTTGGAGGAGCATGCTGCTGAGCAACCTTCTTCGGCACCCGAGACATAGTGCAATGACAAAACTGCGGAAAGAGCTGGCACCCTGAAGCAGAGACCACAATCGGAGATGTTGTGATCTTCGTTCCAGGCACCGCATTCTTATAGTAAAAAAGCTGCAGCTTTCAATGTGGGGGGTTGTGTGTCAGGTGCCTTGCTGGACCATGCGTCTCCGTTTGTAGACAATGCGCCTTCAACTAGGAGTGATGTTCGAGAAAAAGATCCCTAATTCTATATATTAGCACACTCATCTAGCATTTTCACATGGACCTTATTATCCCAAATGGAGTGGCCAAGAGAGGTCAATCTTCAGGTTTGGACCTATCCGAGGGTCATGCGCCGGTTAGGGAACTGTCTAGGCCAAACCAGGTTACAGAGTTAACCAAGCTCGAGCTAAGGTCTGACCCAGGCCTAGTCAATCCGAACCTCTTCCTGAACTCCTTAGCAACTAAACATGCACTGACCTAAGGGCGTGTTACATTTTCGATTTTTCCGGACGGTTCGGACAATGACCACTCTGAAACGTATTGAAACCCACTTGAACAAAGCGTTCTACAAATCAACCACTTTCAACCGTTCTGACGGTCCGGAGAGTTTGGAAGAAAATCGAAAATGTAACATGCCCTAAGAACTGTACATCTGAGGCTACTATTTAGGGTTCTTAGCTATTGATCGTCTCCAAACTCTACAGCTGCCATCCCACTACCCGTCTCACTCCGAATGAAACCAAAACAACCGCCATGGCTAACGCCGTAGCGTCTCGGCGCCATCCGGAATTGAAAGGAGAACTCATCATGGCACCCCCCACGCTTTCCGCGATTGACGCGGCGGCTGCGGGAGAGCCATCGGCGACGGAGCCGTGCCTGGTGGGCACGCAGGTGATCGAGCTTCCGTCGGAGGTATTCACTCTAGAGGACCCCAGCTCGCTCTTATCGCTCGACACGTGGTACAACGTGCTTGACGACGATGATCGCGAGCGCCTCGCGCGCTTCCTTCCGTCGTCGGAGCGCGCGGATCCGTCGGAGCTTCTCGAGCATCTGTTCGAGAACTCCGCGTTCCACTTCGGCAGCCCCGTGCAGGCGTTCTGGGGGAAGCTGACGGCGGGGAAGTTCCACCCCGCCGTCGAGCTGCTCGCGCGCAGCGTGCGCGTGCTGCAGCGCAAGCAGCACTACCACGACGTGCGCCGCTACCACGACGACATGGCGCGCGGGCTGCGGGACATGCGCGCCGTCTGGCAGCAGCTGCCCGACGCCGACCTCTCGCAGCGCCTGCAGCTCTGGCGTGATGTTAAAGCGCACGGCGGGCTGTCGGCGGCGGGCCGCGCGCGGCTCGCGAAGAGCGGGTCGGAGTCGCAGCTCGCGGCGGACGGCGCGAAGCGGAAGGAACCGGAACCGGACGCCGACGCTGCCTTGGCTTTGCGCGGCGACGACAGCGGACGCGCCGCGAAAAGAGCTGCGCTTGACGAGAAGCCGCTGGATGCGCAGGTTGCGTCGGGAAGCGAGTTCAATCACGCGAGTCAACTGAGTCAATCCAGCCAGCCCAGTCAGCCCAGTCAGCCCGAGGGGTCACCAACGGATATCGGGTTTTCCATCCGCGCGCTGCTGGCGGCGGTGCGGGACGTGCTGATGCAGAGCCGCGGGGAGGGCGGCGGGATCCTTGGCGACGAGGCGACGTTCGCGTGGATGCACTCCGCGGACATCGTGCAGCGCGTGCGCGAGCGCCCGGGCGACCCGCGCGCGCTGCGCCTGTCGCTGCGGTTCGGCGAGCTGGTAATCACGGCGCTGAAGGTGCTGCAGACCAAGGCGCCGCCCGGCACGCGGCTGTGGAAGCCGTTCGTGCAGTCGCGGCGGCAGGGGTCGGAGTGGGCGTGGTGCGGCGCGGTGACGGACGCCATGGATCCGAGTCGCCCTGTGAACGCGGACCCGCTGAGCTGGGGCATCGCGGAGAAGGGGCTTAGTCGTTTGGAAGAGCGGTTCGTGAAGATGCTGCAGGACGCCGGCTCGCTGCCGCTCCCGCTGCCGGACGCCGCTTCTGCTAAAGACTCTGCCGCTGTTGCTGCGGGCGCGGGCGGTGCGGGTGGTGCGGGTGCGGGTGCTCCGCCTGCTGATGCGCCATCTGCGCCTGCGGAGGGGAAGGGGCGCGCGGTGGCGGGGAAGGCGGAGGAGAGCAGTGGGGTGAGCGGCGCAGCGGCGGGGGGCGGGGGAGAAGGCGCGCGCGCGGCGCCTAGGGACGGCGAAGAGTCGCCGCACCTGCCCGCACTCTCGCGCTCGCTGGTCAACGAGCCGCGCGCCCCGTTCAGCCAGCTCAAGAGCCAGGTGCGGGGGCGGGTGGAGAGTGGGGGCAGGTGGGGTGTGCAAGAGTGGGTATGTGGGGGCGACGGGGCTCTTACACAGCTAGGTGCTCTTCATGCCGTGGCAGCACTCGACCCCTCCATTCCGCACCTCATCGCATTTCTCTCCCCTCCTCCTCCCTCCCCCTTCCCACCTTCGCCTCCCCTGCACCGGCCCTCCCCCTCTGCGCCTCACTCCCACCGCCGCTTCTCCCTCCCCCCCGCAGGTGACCCTCCCGCCGTCGTCGGCGCACATGCGCGCGCTGTTCCAGTGCGAGGAGCGCCTACGGTACGAGATCCCCTGCCACGCCTTCCGCTACACGGCGACGGACGGCGGCAAGGCCATGGTGGCGCCCGTGGTGCGCCACGGCGCCAAGGCCGTGGCTAAGGCGAGAGATCACGCCATGCTCAAGCTGGAGCGGCCGCCCCACGTGACGATTCTGTCTCTTGTGAGGGATGCGGCGGCGCGGCTGCCGAATGGGATTGGGACCCGCGCGGACGTGTGCACGCTGTTGAGGGACTCGCAGTACTTTGTGGCCGAGTCCCCCGAGGCACAGGTAGAGTAGCGCAGAAAGGGGGGGGTGGTGTGGAGCATGCACAGACGCACACTTGCAGGCAGGCAGGCGGGCAGGCGGGCAGGCGGGCAGGCGGGTGGGCAGGCGGGCAGATTACCACGAGCGCAGCTTGCGTGTGAGCAAAACTGATCACCATCTCCTGCCTGTCACTATCTCTATCTCCCCCCTTCCCCCCTCACCCCCCCGCCCCCTCTCAACCCCCCGCACCCCCTCCCCCCTTCCCCCCCCTGCTTCGCCTCCCCCCCCTTCCCCTCCCCCCCTTTTCCCCCCACCCAGGTGAACCAGATAGTGAGTGGAGCCATGGACCGCTTGCACTACGAGCGCGACCCGTGTGTGAAGTACCTAGCAGACCGCAAGATGTGGCGCTACCTGCACCGGCACCGCGTGGCTCACGACTTTCTCCCTGATGGCACCGTCTCCACGCGCCAGTGGGCCCGCAAGAAGGGCGCGGGAGGGGGCGACGGTGATGCTGGGGATGCGGTTGGTGCTGGTGCGGATGGGGTTGCGGGGGAGGGTGCGGGTGGGGATGGGGGTGGTGGTGGGGAGGGAGGGGTGGGTGGGATGGCGGAGAGGGAGTTGAGTGTGGTGGTGGGTGGTGGGGTTGTGGGAGGTGAGGGTGGGAGGGGTGGAGAGGAGGGGGTGCGGAGGGAAAGGATTGGGGGTTTTGGGAGGAAGAGTGGGGAAAAGGAGCAGCAAGGGCAGGCGGTGGGGTTGAGTCAGCAAGGGGAGGTGCAGAGGGCGGTTGGCGGGTTGGATAAGCAGAGTTTGCCGGCACATGTGAAGTTGCTGCCAGCACAGCAGCAGCAGCAACTGCAGAAGCTAGCTCCTCAGCTGTCTTCACTGTCTAAGCTGCCGCAACAGGGGCCGCAGCAGCAGCAATCACAACAGAAGCAGCTGCATCAGCAGCAGCAGCGGCAGCAGCAGCAGCAGCAACAGCAGCAACAGCAGTACCAGCAACAGCAGCAACAACAGCATCAGAACCCTCACCAACAACAGCAGCAGCTGCTGCACCAGCAGCAGCAGCAGCAGCAACAGCAACAGCAGCAGCAGCAGCAGCAACAGCAACAGCAACAGCAACAGCAACAGCAACAGCAGCAGCAGCAGCGGCAGCAGCAACAGCAACAGCAACAGCAACAGCAACAGCAACAGCAACAGCAGCAGCAGCAGCAGCAACAGCAACAGCAACAACAGCAACAACAGCAGCACCAGCAGCACCAGCAGCACCAGCATCAGCAACCGCAGCAGCAACAACACCAGCAACAGCACCACCAGCAGCAGCACCCGCTGCAACAACAGCACCACCAGCAGCAGCAGCAGCAGCAGCCACAGCAACAACGCAAACCCTCACAGAAGCACCTGCTGCAGCAGCAACAGCAGCAACAGCAACAGCAGCAGCAACAGCAGCAGCGTCAACAGCTGGCTGGTCAGGAATGGCCTCTGTTCCCACAGGCAGCAATAGCAGCGGCGGCAGCAGCGGTAGCGGCAGCAGCGGCGGGTGGAGGGGTAGCAGCAGAAGCAGCAGGGCCAATGGGGCCAGCAGGTTCAATGGGGCCAGCAGGTCTTGCACCCAGAAGCAAAGCCATGTCTCGCTCGCCATCCTCCTTATCAGAAGCCACAGGTGCAACCGCCACCACCGCCACCACTGCAGCAGCAGCGGCAGGTGCGGCCGCAGGCAGTAGGGCGGGCAGCTTCTGGGCAGCAGCAGCAGCAGATACAGGCAACCATGGTCTCGGTGGTCCCACGCGGGGAGATAATCCCTTGGAATCTGCCATGCCCGCTGCCTTGAATGCTGTGGCTGGCGGCTTTGAGAGGAGCAGATCAATGTCCCATGGCACCAGTGACTTGAGACAGCCTGCCCATCAGCTCCTGCGACAGTCTGGAATGATGAAACCGGGTCCAGTTGCTGGGCCTGGGGGAAATCTTGCTGCTGCGGCTGCTGCATCTCTCGCTGCCTCGTCGTTGGCTGCTGCGGTGGCCGCTGCCGCTCCAGCTGCTGCTGGCGCCGGCACGGCCACTCTGAGTCCGCATGTGGCGGCGCCTGCTGGCGCTCGTCAACCCGTGCCTCGCTCCATGGCTGCTGCGGCTGCTGCGGCTGCTGCTCCCACGCGCCCTGACTTCGCGACAGGAAGCCGACCTGGTGCGGGTGCGCAGGGTCTCAACCTCAACTCGGGGCAGTTTGAAGCCATCGCTGGCAGCAGGGGCAGCGGCGGCGGCATCGGCGGCAGCAGCGGCGTTGGTGGCAGCAATAGCCTTCCTAGGTCAAACCATGGTGTGGGCATTTCCAGCCAGACAGGCATGACAGGGGGCATGGCAGGAGGCGTGCCAGGGGGTATGGCAGGGGGTATGGGAGGGGCATAGCAGGAGGCATGACAGGGGGTTTGGGAGGGGGCATGGCAGGAGGCATGGCAGGAGGCATGGCAGGAGGCATGGCAGGAGGCATGGCAGGAGGCATGGCAGGAGGAGGCAGCATGGCAGGAGGAGGCAGCATGGCAGAAGGAGGCAGCATGGCAGGGGGTATGACGATGTCAGGTCAGTCTGGCAGCGCCAGTTTGCAAGCAGGGGGATTCTTCCCTGCAGAGGGCATGTTTGGGGAGGGCAGAGGAGGCGGCAGGCTACATGGGCTGGGCAGCAGCACGCAGGGCAGGGAGCTGCCCTTTGCTGCATCCTCGTCCTCCCCTCGTGTGCTTGGTTCTGCTGCTGCCGCAGCACTTGCTGCCAGAGGCGTGCTGTCCCCTGCTGCTGCTGCTTCCATGGGTGTGTCAGCCGCTGGTGTCAACTTTGAACAGGCTGCTGCGCGTGCAGGAAACATGGGGCCTGTTCATGGTAACCGCCTGGTTTCTAACGATGGAACAAATAATTTTACCCAGATGGGTGAAGCAGGGTTAGGGTTGGGAGGAGCCAACGAGTCCATAGGGCAGCCCGAGTTGGACTTTGGGCTCAACAATCTCTCGCAACACAGGATCTCATCGAGCAACGCTGGCATCACCAAGCAGTTCTTTTAGGAATGATGGGCCTTATGCTTTCAATTCTTGTGCCAGTGTATGAGCCAGTGTGTGGCAATTATGGTAGGGATGAACGTCGGGCAACCTTCAGATATTTTCTTTGTCGCTCACATGGAAGTACTTATCCTTTCAGTGTACACATGTACGGCATTCCTAGCTGTACGTTTGTTAGTCTAGCTACAGTATGTGCTGAACAAGGCATATGTTGCTGCTTGTACACCCTTGCATAGTAATTCTTAATGAATTTACATTTCTCTTCTATAGACTTCCCTTAGCATGGATGTCCCGTCCCGAAGGCCTCGCGTCTGTCGGGCTTGGCCCATATTGTCGCCACAAATAGGCTCCGAGTCGCCCTTGCACCAATCGCCACATTTCCAAACTTCTTGGGCCCCGAGGTACTCGCCTAGGTAAGAAACAGGGCCTGTGCTAGGATTTAGGGCACCCTGAGCCCTCAGGGTAACTTTTGAAAAATTTCTGAAATGCCCTGATTTTCCATGGCAAAATTCCCTGGCCATCCGGAAATTTCAGGGCATCAGCAAAAATTCATCCGGATGATTCAGGGCAAAAGATACAAGGCACTGGAGAGGATGGAGGGGAAGACACGAAAGGAGCAGGTTGCTTACTGGTTTCACTGCTGGCTGAGCAAAAACATTGGTGGGGGAGGGGTGGGGACAGAACTACTAGCACACACACCCCCCAGCCTCCTTCCTCCCCTCTCTCCCTCTCCCCCTCCACCCCTTCTCCCCTTCCCACGAGTCAGGGCATCCCTCTACATTCACCCTAACGCTTCAGGGCAAAATTTCACTGCCATTCTGAAATTTCAGGGCAAAACACATGGATCATCCTGACGTCACAGGGTAAATTTCAGCGTCATTCTGAAATTCCAGGGCAAACTTAAAACTCCATCTTGAAATCAGGGTAATCAGGATGTTTTGCCCTGATATCGTGGGCCCTGGTAACCCCTACATTTGCTTGTCTCTTTCTCTGCGTTGACAGCACGACCTAATTTCGGTTTCGGTGCACTCTTGGAAATCAGGGTGCTTTGATGACATCACCCTGTCTGTCAGGGTATTTTTTCTTCCACCCTATCAAAATCAGGGTAAACTTTTGAAGACCCTGTTTTGTAACAAAAATGGGGGAATCGGGGCTAGGAGTGTCAAACATAGCTACTAACTTGTTAGATTAGGTTTAGCCATAGCAAGACTTACGAGAGGGCAAGCGGGAGAGAATTGGCCAAAAGAGGGGATTCACTAAGAGAAGAGTTACAAGATATAACAAGCCAAAAGGTGCACCACCAAATAGGACAGCAATATAACTACAATACAGCTAGAACTACATGCAGCTATATAGAATTATATATAAAATATATTCTGACACACCCCCGAAGTGCATGTAGGAATAGCCATGTGCAGAACACCCCCTGAAGGGGTACACCATGCGTAGCAGAAGACAACGGAGAGGCTGTCAGAATCCCAACCACTAACCATTGGGATAAAATGGATTATTTGTGTAGCGGGTGAATGCGCCCATAACCCCCCAGGCCGACGTGCCTGTAACCCTTCCGTAAGATCAATCGGGGATCTCCAGAGGACCTCTGACAGAGGTAAGTGAGGAGGAGGAGGCGAAAGGTGCGTGAGAGAGATGAGTAGAGGAGGTGAGGGGTGGCAGCTGAAGCTGTTGACACACGGGCAACTAGATCATCTAGCACACGGGCAACTGGAGCAACTGGCACACGGGCAACTGGAGCAACTGGCACACGGGCAACTGGAGTAACTGGCTCCGCGGCTAGACGAGTGGCTGGAGCATCTGACTCACGGGTGACTGGAGCAATGGGCTCACGGGCGACTGGAACAACGTGCCCACGGCGATTGGAGCAATGAGCTCTCGGGCAACTGGAGCTGCTGGCTTCACGGCGACCATCCCCCTTCAACTTCCGCCACCCTCTCTTACCCTTCCCCCCACAGCAGCACGAGCGGCAGTGAGAAAGAGAGGAGGCGCGGCTGCTGGCTTTGCAGAATCTCTCTCGCCACCCCCTCACACTCCCCCCTTTTTCCCTCACCCTCCTCCCGCAGCCTCTCCCCCCTCCACGGTGGAAGCCGTGGAAGCGAGGGGGGGCGTGGGCTGCTGATGGCGCTGGCGTCCGCGCCGGCGTCGGGCGCTGGCGTCCGCGTCGCCGTCGTGCGCTGGCGTCCGCGCTGGCGCCTGGCGCTGGTCGCGGGCGTCCGCGCTGGCGCTCGCCACTGGCGTCCGCGCTGGCGCACGTTGCGGACGTATGCACTGGCGCCTGGCGAGGGCGATCGCGCTGGCGCAGGTCGCGGACTTACGCGTTGGCACCTAACAAGGCACTGGGCGGGCTGCGCAAGGTCAGAACGGGTCGCGCGCGGACGGGACGAGCTGCGCGCGGGGCAGAACGAGCTTCATGCAGAGGAAAACGAGCTGCCCATAGGGCAAAAATGCCCGCGCGCAGGCAAAACGGGCCGTGCGTGCGAGAAAATGGACTGCGCGCGGGGCGCATTGGGCTGCGTGGTGAGTGGGTCTAGTCTCTGGAAAGGGCAGGAAGGTTCCTGCTCTAACACCATGTCAAACATAGCTGCTGACTTAGTAGATTAGGTTTAGCCATAGCAGGACTTACGAAAGTCACAAGCGGGAGGGAATTGGCCAAAAGAGGGGATTTCTAAGAGAAGGGTTACAAGATATAGCAAGCCAAAGGGTGCACCACCAAACAGGACAGAATATAACTACAATACAGCTAGAACTACATGCAGTTGTACAAAATTATATTTAAAATATATTCTGACAGGGAGTGGAGAGGGGATTGTGGGGAGGGGCTGGGAGATGCGAGGGAAACAGGGGGGGGATTGAGCGAGGAGTGGCGATGGATGTGGAATGAATGGGGCTCGGCGGTTGGGAGAAGTGCGGTTGGGAGAAGTGCGGGAAAATTCATCCAGATGATTCAGGGCAAAAGATACAAGGCACTGGAGAGGATGGAGGGGAAGACACGAAAGGAGCAGGTTGCTTACTGGTTTCACTGCTGGCTGAGCAAAAACATTGGTGGGGGAGGGGTGGGGACAGAACTACTAGCACACACACCCCCCAGCCTCCTTCCTCCCCTCTCTCCCTCTCCCCCTCCACCCCTTCTCCCCTCCCCACGAGTCAGGGCATCCCTTTACATTCACCCTAACGCTTCAGGGCAAAATTTCACTGCCATTCTGAAATTTCAGGGCAAAACACATGGATCATCCTGACGTCACAGGGTAAATTTCAGCGTCATTCTGAAATTCCAGGGCAAACTTAAAACTCCATCTTGAAATCAGGGTAATCAGGATGTTTTGCCCTGATATCGTGGGCCCTGGTAACCCCTACATTTGCTTGTCTCTTTCTCTGCGTTGACAGCACGACCTAATTTCGGTTTCGGTGCACTCTTGGAAATCAGGGTGCTTTGATGACATCACCCTGTCCGTCAGGGTATTTTTTCTTCCACCCTATCAAAATCAGGGTAAACTTTTGAAGACCCTGTTTTGTAACAAAAATGGGGGAATCGGGGCTAGGAGTGTCAAACATAGCTACTAACTTGTTAGATTAGGTTTAGCCATAGCAAGACTTACGAGAGGGCAAGCGGGAGAGAATTGGCCAAAAGAGGGGATTCACTAAGAGAAGAGTTACAAGATATAACAAGCCAAAAGGTGCACCACCAAATAGGACAGCAATACAACTACAATACAGCTAGAACTACATGCAGCTATATAGAATTATATATAAAATATATTCTGACACACCCCCGAAGTGCATGTAGGAATAGCCATGTGCAGAACACCCCCTGAAGGGGTACACCATGCGTAGCAGAAGACAACGGAGAGGCTGTCAGAATCCCAACCACTAACCATTGGGATAAAATGGATTATTTGTGTAGCGGGTGAATGCGCCCATAACCCCCCAGGCCGACGTGCCTGTAACCCTTCCGTAAGATCAATCGGGGATCTCCAGAGGACCTCTGACAGAGGTAAGTGAGGAGGAGGAGGCGAAAGGTGCGTGAGAGAGATGAGTAGAGGAGGTGAGGGGCGGCAGCTGAAGCTGTTGACACACGGGCAACTAGATCATCTAGCACACGGGCAACTGGAGCAACTGGCACACGGGCAACTGGAGCAACTGGCACACGGGCAACTGGAGTAACTGGCTCCGCGGCTAGACGAGTGGCTGGAGCATCTGACTCACGGGTGACTGGAGCAATGGGCTCACGGGCGACTGGAACAACGTGCCCACGGCGATTGGAGCAATGAGCTCTCGGGCAACTAGAGCTGCTGGCTTCACGGCGACCATCCCCCTTCAACTTCCGCCACCCTCTCTTACCCTTCCCCCCACAGCAGCACGAGCGGCAGTGAGAAAGAGAGGAGGCGCGGCTGCTGGCTTTGCAGAATCTCTCTCGCCACCCCCTCACACTCCCCCCTTTTTCCCTCACCCTCCTCCCGCAGCCTCTCCCCCCTCCACGGTGGAAGCCGTGGAAGCGAGGGGGGGCGTGGGCTGCTGATGGCGCTGGCGTCCGCGCCGGCGTCGGGCGCTGGCGTCCGCGTCGCCGTCGTGCGCTGGCGTCCGCGCTGGCGCCTGGCGCTGGTCGCGGGCGTCCGCGCTGGCGCTCGCCACTGGCGTCCGCGCTGGCGCACGTTGCGGACGTATGCACTGGCGCCTGGCGAGGGCGATCGCGCTGGCGCAGGTCGCGGACTTACGCGTTGGCACCTAACAAGGCACTGGGCGGGCTGCGCAAGGTCAGAACGGGTCGCGCGCGGACGGGACGAGCTGCGCGCGGGGCAGAACGAGCTTCATGCAGAGGAAAACGAGCTGCCCATAGGGCAAAAATGCCCGCGCGCAGGCAAAACGGGCCGTGCGTGCGAGAAAATACACTGCGCACGGGGCGCATTGGGCTGCGTGGTGAGTGGGTCTAGTCTCTGGAAAGGGCAGGAAGGTTCCAGGATGAAACCTGCTCTAACACCATGTCAAACATAGCTGCTGACTTAGTAGATTAGGTTTAGCCATAGCAGGACTTACGAAAGTCACAAGCGGGAGGGAATTGGCCAAAAGAGGGGATTTCTAAGAGAAGGGTTACAAGATATAGCAAGCCAAAGGGTGCACCACCAAACAGGACAGAATATAACTACAATACAGCTAGAACTACATGCAGTTGTACAAAATTATATTTAAAATATATTCTGACAGGGAGTGGAGAGGGGATTGTGGGGAGGGGCTGGGAGATGCGAGGGAAACAGGGGGGGGATTGAGCGAGGAGTGGCGATGGATGTGGAATGAATGGGGCTCGGCGGTTGGGAGAAGTGCGGGAAATGGGGGAAATTGTGCTGAAGGTGCTAGGGAATTTAGGGGAGAGGGGCTAGGAGAGGCGAGAAACTCTGACAAGTAAGCGTAAAAATCAGCGCACATTGATTTCGATTGGGTAGAAAAAATCTCCACACTTTTGAAAAAAAGGGTATAAAACCGCCCACCCTTTCAAAATCAGGGTACTCGTAAAAAAATGGAGTTTAGAAAGGGTAATAAGGGAATTTTTCCCTTGAAAAAATGCCCCTGATTGGCAGCTTTCTTAATCACAGTATCATTTTAGAATTGTCCCGTACATTTTGTCGGTAGCGTGCACCTCACAGCACTTGGTATCAAAGCTACCGTACTTTTCTCACCCGACATTTATAGCGTAATTCGTCAAAGTTATGCTTGTTAGTTAGCCTGTAGTGAGGTGCTTCTCTTTACACTTTGGTTTGTACCCCTTTCTTTGACCTAATTACGCCATACATCCATACTATTCTAACATAATTCCCTTACGGGGGTGAAGAAGGATGTCTTGGGGTCTAAGAATTGAACGAAGGCCAGCAAGGGAACGAGTTACCGTATAGTGTCTGCATTTTTTTTAAGACCCGAGGTACATTTATTTATCACATATCAATCTATTATTTAGGGTGTACAACTCAATTTGGGCGGGAGGGGAGGGGGGAGGGGGGCGGAGGGGGGGGTCTCATATTCGTATGCAAATTTCAAATGAGCGACGCGCCAGATCTGTGTCGGGGTTCGGGATTCTGACACAAATGAAGTGTTGGAATTCGCGTCTCACACAAAAAAACCCATCAAAATCGAATCTGTGCCCATAAAAGCTAACGCACAATAGCACTAACAACTACTGTATACAATCTTATCATGTTTATGGGCAAAAAGGGGGTCCTCACAAAACCTGCCATAATAAGAGTCCAACTACCCATTCAAGAGTCCTGGGGGACCCTTATACCGGCGGGTCCTATCGACCCGGGGGTTATCTAAGAATCCCATGCCAAAAATGGGGGAGGGAGGGGGGGGGTGTTATCAGTTGGCAGTATGTTATAAGACCCAGGCCTTATCAAAATGACATAAATAATATTTGTGTTTTGGAAGCCAACCATGCGAATGTGCTCCGATTTTAGCATTAAAAAAAAAATACGCATAATGAACTCCACGACCGTTCGAAGGCACGTCACCCAGCAATCACGCTGGGTGCCTTCTCCCATTGGTCGTTAAACGTGGTTACTGCGTCACAATAGTGTGGGACCCAGCGCACTGTTGCCTTGACGTCGTCCCTTACACCTCATGCACGCTTTGACCCTTGGCACATCCCCCTTCCGAGGTTGCGCGTCACCTCATGCTCCTCCAGACCCTTCTCTGAGGCACAATGGCTTTCTATGCTTGGGAGGCTCTCAGAGCAAGTACGGGATAATTTGGTGAGCTGATGATGCTCTAGTTTAGAGAGTTCCTCCATGGTAAGGTCACCCGATATTGGGACGTCGGCTCGCCCACGCAACCGCCGGAGTGACAAACGCGAAGCTCCTGATCCTAGGCCTTCGCCTAGGCCCGTCTTGCCAACGCCTACGGCATCTTCAAGCGACGCTACAGAGTGTAAGCGCGGCGATATCCCTCCCCATCCGTTGCCCAGGTCAAGGTTCAAACCTTTCCGCAAGCCAGGAGACCCCAGGAAAAAAAGAAGCAAGTACTAGATGCAGACCCCCCATCGCCTCGACGTCGAATGAACAAGAAGGCGTGGTGCGCCTTCGCCATTAAGGAGAAGCTGTACTGGCTGGCGATGCTAGACGCACAGCCCGATATAAGCGTCTGAGCCTTGGTGAGGCTCGTGAAAGTGCAGCCGAAGCAGATTAGCGAATGGAACAGCTTCAAAGAGCGGCTGGATGTCGAGGTTAAGTGAACGCCTCGGTGGTGCTGGGCAGCTTCAAAGAACGCGTTCTTCGTTCGTTTTGCTGCAGATTGCGCGAATGCAGCAAATACGCGTGCTCAACAGCTAACCCCCTCAATCTCATCGTGAATGCGGACCAAACGCCGCTGTTCCTCGAGATGCCGGCCAAGTGGACCCTCGAGATCAAAGACGCACGAACCGTGCACGTGCGCACTGGCCGTCATGCTGGCGGTGACGGCGGGCTGCTTGAAGCCTCCTCCGTACGTCGTCTTCAAACGGAAGACACTGCTGAAGATCCTCGTGCCTCGAGCTGAGATGTTTGACTGGTTGTTTATTAATTGTTTGTTAAGGAAAAACCACTGCTAATGCTCCTGTTGCTTACGTGCACGTAATATCATTCGAGCCCAGAAAAAGGGTTGGATGGACGAGAAGCTTGTCCAATACCGGACAACGCAAGTTCTCGTGCCATTCTTAAAGCTGTTGCGCGAGGAGGAAGGACGATGCAAGGATGCGCTCCTCGTACTCGACTCGTACCGCGGCCAAACGATGAAGCTCTTCAAACTCACGCGCGCGGTGATCCCTACCAGTTGCACCTCACTGATGCAGTTGCTAGACGTTTCGGTGAACCGCAGCTTCAAAGTTGGGATGCGCCACCGCTACTCTACGTGGTTCGGGGACGAGGGGATTGGATACACCACCCTTGTAGGTGAGTTTATGGCTTGAATACAGTTTGCACCCTTTTTACTGCTTGAATTCTTCATCATTTGACAGAATTGGCCCCCACCCATCGTGATCCTACAAGGAATCTGAAGAAACCACTAGCGGAGAAGGTCCTCCGCTGGATTGTGAGTCCTGGACCGACGGCAGATGCGCCATTCGACATCTCCACCGCCGTTGACGGGAGTGAGGATCATCTGATTCACGCTCACCTGTGGGATGCGGCGGAGGTGGATGCGTGAGGAGGAGCTGGACGAGCTCATCCCCACCTCTTCTACCCTAACCCTGCTGCCATTGCTGACAAAGACGGTGAAGATGCCCTGGCGATGGAAGCTGAAGAGGAGGGGAAGACGGAGGAGGACTCCATGGAGGATGAGGACTACGAGGAGGACAATGAGGAGAGTGAAGAGTCGTCGGGCAATGAGAGGGAGAGTGAGGAGGAGGACGACGGTGAAGCAGAGGAGGTGGGAGGTGGACAGGGATGGGACGATGATGAGGACTCGTGGAAGGGAGGGCGATATGTTGGGGAGGAGGTAGTGGAATGGGTTGCTGGACATGGTGATAATTAGATGAGTGAGTGCTTTTGTGACTATCACCCCTCAATGAAATTTTGTGGGTTTTGTTGTGGAAAATGGTAGGAAAAAATGCAGAATACTATCATTGGTGTTAAAAGTACGTAATCTCGGGGAATATAATGTTAGCCCCAGTTTAGGGGGGTATAACTCCAAACGACCTATTAAGTGTACATTCCTCCATATTACATGCGGAGATCCACTGCACAACGGGAGTGGACTACGGAGGAGGGCACGGGGTTGTGCGAGTGATCGTAGCGCTCTGCTAGCGTTCTTACTGCTTGCTATGTTCACTGAGAAGTTTGGCAAGAATTCCACTAAGGAAAGAACAACTTGCAATAACAAAGTTGATAGGGAAGAATAGAGTACAACAAAAGAGGCATGCAGAACAAAAGACTAGAATGGCATGGAACTCCTAGCAAGGGCGAACTCTGCTAGCGCAGCAGAAGCGCGGCTTGCCAACGCTGCAGCAGAGTGGTCTGCCAGCGTTGCACTGCGCGCGGTCTGCCAGCACTGCAGTCGCAGGTGACTATCTGCAGTCGCAGGCAACTTTCTGCGGTCGCAGGTTGTCTATCTGCGCAGATGTGCGCACCTACCAAGTAGGTGCAGGTTGGTGGTTTCACCGTCAGGCACATTGCGCAGGTGCCAGGTAGAAAACGTGTCGTCGGTTTCGCCAGGTGCGCGCCGTCGACCACGTGATGCCGTTCCGCAGGTAGAACTTCGCCAAAATCTCCTGGGCGAATGTTCGCACGCCTTCGCAGAGTTTCGCGCAACTCTGCAACTTCGGTCGATCAGCTCGACTCTGCACAGTCGAACAGTGTTCGCTGTGCAGAGCTTCTCGACCAGAACTCTTCGACCAGAGTCCTTCGAACAGCGCTCTTCGACGGAAGCTCGCCGCGTAGAGATCGTCGACCAGAATCCGTCGAGCAGAACCTGCTCGACCGCAACTTCTGCCGAACTGCAGAAGCCCATTTCGTCGACCGATCCGTCGCGAACTTCCCGTCTACAGCGAGATCAGCTACGCTCAAGCGAGGGCGGGGCCATTTCCTTCGACACTCCCCTGCCGCGCTCACGCTTGGGCACCCCACACAGAAGGTCCACCCAGAACCCAGAGGGATAGAATACAAGGAGAAATTCCTTCTACGTGCACCCAACACATAACACGTAGATCACCGCACCAGCCATGCAAAAGGGCATGGCACCTACTGCTGCACTTCGTCATCCCCGTCGCCAACGTCGGCCAGACGCACTTGGTCGATAGCGACGGAGCACCGGTTGAAGGCCGGAAAATGCAGCGCCTTCGTCAGAAAATCCGCCGGCTGCTCAGAAGTCGGGATGTACTGCAGAGCAATCTTCCCGCGCTTCACCATCTGCTGCAGCCAGGCATAGCGTCGCTCCATGTGCTTGAGGTTGCCCTTGAGCCCCAAGCCCTCTGCGACTTTGATTGCCGACTGGTTGTCCACGTGCAGAACAGTCGGCTTCCTTGGGTCGAGTAGGCGGAATTCTGCAAGGAGGAAGCGCAGACGGCGAGCCTCCTTGCCGGCTTCTGTCGCCGCGACGTACTCCGACTCCGTCGACGAGAGCGTCGCGCACTTGATGCGCTGGCTCGACCACGAAACTGCGGCCCCTCCGTAGATGAACACGTAGCCGCCCGTGCTCGTCCGATTCTGCTTGTCGCCAGCGTCGTCTGCATCTGCATAGCCGACCAAAACCAGCGACTCTGGTCCGCCACCGAACTCCTGAGCGGCATCCCGAGTTTCAGCGAGGTAGTGCAGGCAGCGATCGACCTCACGCCAGTGGTTGTCGCTCCGCACAGTCAGGCCGGATCCGAGCTTGCTGCAAGCGAAGGCAATGTCGGGCCTCGTCGTGGTGGCCGCGAACTGCAGCGAGCCGACCTTCTGCCGGTACTCTGCTTCCTCGCGTGACTGAAAGTCCTCGTCGTCGAAAGTCAGCTCTGCGTAGGCGTCGACGGAGACCGGCGTCTTCGGCACTCGCCCAGTCTGCTCCTCGTCGATGAAGCGCCGACGCAGCTTGTCGACGTACGACTGCTGGTGCAGCCACAGCTTCCTCGCAGGACGGTCGCGCACGATTTCCAGCCCGAGATACTTCTCGACCGGGCTGATTTCGCGCAGCTCGAAGGCGGCCTCCAGCAGCTCCTTCAGCTCCTTCAGGCTCTCAGTGCTGCTGCTTGCGGCGAGCAGATCGTCGACGTAGACGAGCACCCAGCACGCCACTCCGTCGTCGCCGATCTTGAAGTACAGCGCCTCGTCGACCTGGCTCTTCTGCCAGCCAGCGCCCGTCAGCACCGCATCGAGCACCGAGTACCACAGCAGCGGACTCTGCTTCAGCCCGTACAAGCTCTTCAGCAGCTTGCAGACGCGACCGGTTCCGTCGTTGTAGTAGTCGGGCTGATACATGTAGAGGACGCGATCCAGCTTACTCTGCAGAAACGCGTTTTTCATGTCCAGCTGCATCAGGTGCAGGTCGAGCACCGCTACAATGCTGAGAAAGATGCGCAGAGTTACGTAGCTCCCCACCGGCGCGTACGTTTCTTCGTAGTCTGCGCCGTAGACATGCGTTAAGCCTTTCACCACCAGACGCGCCTTCTTGCGAGCGACCGTATCGTCGACGTGGTACTTCGTTGTGAGCACCCAGCGGTTCTTCATGATGTTGACACCGCGCGGACGCTCGACCAGCTCCCACGTCCCGTTAGAGATGAGACTCTTGATCTCCTCGTCCATGGCGGCTTTCACCGCCTTGCCCTTCCAGCTCGCCAATGCCTCCTTCACCGTCATGTTGGCGATGTCCCAGCGATGGTCTGGATCAGCATGCATGTCGGGGTCGAGCTCGGGTAGAACAGCGTCGTCCTGCGCGTCGTCGAGCAGAGTGCTGTAGGAGGTCGGTGACAGACAAGCGTGGAGACTCAGCTTCTTCTCCGGCGGCTTGCCGATGTTGGAGCGGGCAGATCGTCGCAGTTTCGCCTCGTCTACCGCGACCTCTACCACGTCGCTGTCGTCGGACTGCTCCCCTGTCGACAGCTCCTCTTCACCGCCACCGTCCGCACCGACGACTTCCACAACGTCGTCGCTCGACGAGTCGTCGTCGAACTGCTCCCCTGGCGGCAGCTCCTCTACCAGCTGCTCCCCCAGAATCGGCTTCTCTGCCAACGGCTCCCCTGAGGCTGGCGCCTCTGCTGATGGCTCCTCTGCAGTCTGCTTCGACGCAGACAGCTTCTGAGTCATCCTCTCCCCTGTCGTCTGCCGTTGCACGTCGCTGTCCTTCTCGGCGTCACGTCGGCCACCGGCGATGCAACCGGTCGGCGCAGCAGGCGATGCACCGAGGCTCCCCTCATCGCTGGCGGCCGACGAGGAGCCCTACACAAGGGTGTCGACGAAGGGCGGGGAAGGGGAGGGCGACGGAGTCGCCGACGGGGAAACAGTGGGGAAGGGGACCTCTACGACGTCCTCGTCATCATGCTCGTCACCTTCGGCGAGCAACGGGGGCACCGTCGAGGAGGGATCTGGCGGCGGGGCAGAAGGCGTCCTCGTCGGCGCCGGCCCATCCTCCGCCTTCCACTTCTCCATCGACAGGTTTTCGTAGAAGATCGCTTCGACCGTCGTGACGACTTTATGTTCTGTCAGATCGAGCACCTCCCAGCCCTTGCTCTCTGGCGACACTCCGAGATGAAGACCCCAACGAGCCTTCGGCGCCAGCTTCCCGCCGCGCTGCTGCTCAGGGACCATGAACTGCACCATGCAGCCCCAGACGCGCGCCAGCATTAAATCCGGCTTCGATCCGAAGAGCAGCTCGTGCGGCGTCGTCCCCTTCGGCAGAGAAGCACGTTCGAGGCAGTTGTGCACCCACACCGCCTGGCGCAAAGCGAGATGCCACCAATGATGCTTCACGCCCATGTGCAGAAGCATCGTTCGCACGGCCTCGACCACCGTGCGCATCTCCCTCTCTGCCATTCCGTTCTGCTGGGGGGTATAGGGGCACGTCAAATTGTGGAGGATGCCCTTAACCTCGACGAGGTCGGTGAAGGCGCGACCGAGGAACTCCCCTCCGCGGTCAGAACGCAGCTTCTTCACCGTCTTCGACGTCTGCCGCTCCACCTCCTTCAGCCACTTGTCGAAGACGACCAGCACGTCGCTCTTCTTCGCGATCGGCCTCACCCACACGTAGCGCGTCTTCCTGTCCTTCAAAAGCAGGAAGTAGAGGCTGCCATTCAAGGCGGCCACGCGAAATGGCCCGCAGAGGTCGATGTGCACCACATCGAGCGCGTTCTCTGCATCTGCGCCTTTGTCGGGGAAGATGTGCCGCGCAAGCTTGCCGCCAACGCAGGAGGTACACGGCAGATCATCGGCGGTCGACGTCTTGATGTCCAGACCGGTGGCGACCGCATGCTTCGCCGAGCTCTTGATCGTGTCGATGCCGACGTGCGCAAGGCGAGCGTGCAGCTGGCTCAGGGTAGACTTCGTCGCCGACGCGATCGTCCGCAGAGCCACAACCTCCGTCGAAGTCGCCGTCGACTTCGTCGAGCAGGGGCGCAGGTCCGTGCAGAGCACTCTGCCAGAGTAGCGTGCGCGACCAAGAACATCGCCGGTAGGAGACACCAGCAGCGTCTCTGCACCATCGTCCTGGAACTTCACGCCGTTCTCCTTGAGCTGGCCAGCAGACAGCAGGTTGGCGTGCACATCAGGAACGTAGAGTACGTCGGGGACGAGGACCTGCTTCCCCGTCTCCCCTTGCAGAGCGACGGTGCCACGGCCTTCGACGTTCTGCAGCGCCCCATTGAAGCCACGCACATGCTTGACATCGCCGCGAGGCTTCATCTCGACGAACGCCTCCTTCGTCCCCATCAGATGGTGGGAACAACCGCTGTCGAGGAGAACGATTGTCGGATTCGCCTCCACAGCAGCAGCGACCGCCTTGAAGTCCTCGCCAGCCTCCAGCGCCAGCGAGATCGTCGGCTCCACCGCGCCGACCATCGAGCACGA